TTTTTTTTTTTGTAGGCAGCGATCCCGAAATCGCAACTCAAAACCGTTGATATCCTATTCGAAGATAAACCAGGCGCGGCTTATCAGCCAAGCAGCATCGAAAAGGCTGTTAAAATGGTAGTTATTTTTTCGGATTTCAAGAACATTTATTATAATTTTTCTGAGAATTAATTCGAAAAATTTATGTGTATTAAAGTTTCGGAATCTTCGAAGAAATTAAGATAATCTCAAGGATTCAAAGCAAATTTGCTATGATTTCAAATCAGAATTGATGAAAGTTGCCCTACTTAATAGGCTGCACCAAATGCGACTGCGTGCAATGCTAGCATCATAGAAGTGAACATCGATTTGCCGGATGTCGATGATGAGAGCAACGAGCGGAAAAATTTCGGTTTTACGATTGCTGGCGGAAAGGACAAAAATATGCCGGTTAAAATTGATGCAGTAATAGTGGGACGAGCAGCAGATGCAGCTGGCTTACAGGTGTGTCACTTTTTATAATTGAAGGCCAGTTTCCAAACAATAATAATGGGTAGTGCTATGATTGATCGTAAATTTCTTAAAGTCACCGGCATTAAGCAGCCGAGGGCTTGGAAGAGCTGAGCTTGGTCAACGAAAGCACCCCAATAACATCACTAACATCGGATACCCATACTGATAGTCCTAGCTTTTTTGGTTTTGTAGACGAAACTTGCAAAAATGAATTTTCAGGTTGGCGATTTGCTACTGAGCATAAATGGTGAATCAGTGCTGGATCGATATCACCAAAGCATAGTAAGAATGCTACGTGAAGCGGAACGTCTCGGTCACGCTGAGCTACGGATTCAACGGTCCGACACTGCTCTTACTGGTTCGTCCTTGTTTTAGCTTTACTATACCGGGTGTGCTTTTTATAGTTGTTAGATTTGCCGTAGTTGAACCGCTATGAAAATAACATGACTGATCCAGGGCACATCATTTTTTTGACGGGTAATCCGGTACATTGTCTAGCTTCCTACCAAAAAGTAAGTAGCGCAGTTTCCTTCCTCCTTGGAAAATCGGTGTTTTGCTAGTTAAAAAAAATCATCCATCAGCGAGAATAATAACGAAACACTCTTTTACATTTATTTGCTTGGTTAATTGATTTCATTCCCTCATCGCTTCCATCTCTTTCGTGCAATTTTGGCTAAGTTTTATGAATTCTGATTAAACTTTGGCCTTTTTAATAAGCTTTTGCACCGCACCACACAATTTTTCTTCCACGAAAACGATTTCTGTTTTCATTCATTGCATTTTAGCGGCCACCTCTCGAACCTTATTTTGTGTAGCGATAATATATATAATACTAAACTGACTTAGCATTGTGCGTATAAATTAGGTTGTTTTTTAACCATTTCTAGTACCGTTCAAGTCTTCAAATTTTTTAAAAAATAACAAGTTTTGATTGCAGTTCAAAGAGCACTAACACAAGATCACCCAACAAATACGGATCAACGCTCGTCCATTTCATTCGACCAGAAAAGAGCGATTTTCGACGGCAAATCTGTTGCGAAGGAAAGCTGTTACAAGGAATTCTGGAAGCAAGCATCTAATCCGGTGCAAAAATGGAATACCGATAGCAATATTAGGCGTCCAGGAACTGGTCAGTGAGCAGTTTGAACTAAAACAATTTAAAGGCTTACAGCAGCACTCACTGACAATAATCATTACCACTGAGCGTTTACATTCGTGGTGTTGGTGCTAACGGTATCATTTCTGGTGCGCCATCCAAACAGAGAGTCCATGGCTCGGTATCGATATTCTCCGGCGTTGCTCTTTTGTATTGTGTTTGGAATGGTATGACTTTGGACCATCCTGAAATTGCTCGTGAGATAATCCGCGGAAGAAAGATTAGCTATATGACTAACTCTCTTGTTTTTGTTGTGTGTGTCTGGATGTGAAACGGGATCAAGGAAGTATGCCTATGATTGGTACCTATGTTTTCATTTTACTGGAACCATTTTGAAGGCCCGAAATTGCATGATCTTCTGGGACTTTTATTAGATTTATTAATTGTTCAACTGCATTCTTTCTGACGCCGCTCACGCATTCACTGCACATGAAAGGCTAACTTTTCGAATTTTAATTTAATCTCTCTGCTTTCGCACTAGCCTGCAGATTACTTTAAGAATTCAGAAATCCAGTGGTCACTACTGGTCAAAACTTCAATTGTCGCATGTGTAGATGCTTTCGAACTCACTCAGGCACGAACACTCGCTTACCAATTGCACCACCATTCAAGAAAAAACATAATTTTGCCTGCTCATCTGTCTTGCTTGCTTGTTGCGTTTGGAGACAAGAAAAACCAGCTGGAATTTTCCTTGCTTCATAATGCATGAACTAAATATTTCTGCCCTGGAAAACACTTTCGCTTACCTCTCGCATCGGTCTTTCTGGATATTGGGAATTATTCATTTTTGAGAAAGTAACCTTTTCGCCTTTAAGAAGCTGACTTGCAAGTACACAAAGCCTATTAGAGCATTTCAGTAAGAACTTCAGAGTACCAGGAATATCTTAACCACACAGACAATGGGTATAAAGATCCTAGTACTAGTGATGTCACTTAAATTTCGCCATTGGGTGTAAGTGTGCCTAGATCTGTCACGCGGATACGCGAAAAGCCGGCCCGTATCTTTCCCTGGCGAACGGTTCCTAGGCTGTGTTCCTGGAACACAATGACCCTGTGGTGCAGTGGTTTAGCATGTCGCGTCCGAATGTGAAGACTGGAGTTTCGATTCCTCATCGGTCCGTAACCTCATTTGCAAAAGAGGATTCTGTCCACGAAAGGCCTTACATAAAGAGCAATGTCGCTCCACTTGGAATAAAAAGTATTTTGGAATGAAAAATAAAAACTGCCTCCCAATACTTTGGATATTGTTCACGCGGCTGGACCTTTCGAAATCCCATACGAGTGCCACACTTTATGGGGTAGGAACGTTGAACGGAAGTTCAAGCAAAACATCTACTCCTCCTTTCCCGTACGCTTTTTTCTGACAGAGACGAAGACTTTCTTTAATTTTTTTTTAGCTGCTGCTGCTGCTGCTGCTACTGTTGCTGCTGCTACTGCTACTGCTGCTGTTGGTGCTGCTTCTACTACTCCTACAACTGTAACAGTGGTACGCAGCAATTCGGCAATCTCATCAATGTCAGCGCCAGGAGTCGTCGA